ACTAGGTTGAAACTAAAAGATTATACTTTTAATTTCATTTTCACAAACGAATGGCGGCGTTTTGGATGCGACAAATACTAACATACGCACTGTTTGCACATAAAAACGAGAGGTTAAATTATGTTGACGAAATAAAAAAATAGTCTTAGAAGTTAAAAAGGTTAGCACCTGAAGTCCTTTTTATAGCTTTTGTGCTATTTTAGAGTTCAAAGCGGTAATAATCACCTACTTGCCACTCTCTTATCACTTAAAAATAAAGTGAGCGACATTTTAGTTCTACCATACCACTTAGGGAGTTAGTATTCACCAATTTGCAGCCCTTTTAGCACCCAAAGGGTTAATAAACGATATTTTATTCTATTGTACCACTAAGGGAGTGAATTTTCGCCTATTTATCACGTTTTTATCCCTTGTAGTTTCAGTTATCGCTATTATAGCTCTCTTATTGCTTTATTATACCTCTTAACCTATTCTGTAACTCTTATTTACCGCAATTAAACAACCTAAGGTGATAAAAAAAGTGTGCCCATTTCGGGGGTACAGTAGAGATATAGCACGCTCTAACTCCGAATGGGTAACATTTATTTATAACTTTAGGATCTGGTTAGCTCTTTAATAGATTTACTATAACTCTTGTCTTAGCGCCTAAGTGTTAGTTGGGTACCCATTCGCATTTGCAATTCTTGCAATTCCCTAGTGACAGAAGCAGTGATAGGCTTAGCAAGTGTTTGTAAGTAATTAATAAATAATAAAATTTTGTCGAATTGGGATAACGGGTGGTGTAAACCTGGAATTTATACAATAACAAATGTAAATAAATGATAAAAACCGTCTAACAATATCCTTTATCTACTATAAATGCCAAATAACTATTCTGCCTAAGGGTACGGCCAGAGTGCACTCAGATTCAGATTCAGACTCAGAAAACAAGCGCGAGAAATATACAGTGTAGTCTAAGCAGGTTGCCTGCTTTTTCGAAGTCGAAGGGTACGGCCAGATTGCACTCCTGATTCAGATTCAGATTCAGACTCAGAAAACAAAGCGCGAGAAAAAGCAGGCAACCTGCTTTGCACCCTAAGGGTGCGGCCAGAGTGCACTCAGAATCAGAGCCAGATTCAGATTTCGAAAACAAGCGCGAGAAATAAACAGTGTAGTCGAAGGGTACGGCCAGATTGCACTCCTGATTCAAACTCAGAAAACAAAGCGCGAGAAAAAGCAGGCAACCTGCTTAGACTACACTGTTTATTTCTCGCGCTTGTTAGAAAAGTCGCAAATAATTAATTTGTTTTATAAAACAATCGTAAATTATCACAAAAATGCACTTAGACTTTCTTATTTCTAATAATAAACAATAATAAATCCAACACTACTGTAAAATGACTTGCATATTAATAACTACCTAGCTTGACTAAATATAAAATTAAGTTCAAATAATGCAGCTACTTTGCTAACTATACTGTATAATAAGTACGTTTGAACTTAAAATAAGCTAATAAATAATGTAGCTATTAATTTCAATTGTAAAATTACACAAAAATTACAATTACAAGTGCACAAATAACATTAAGTTTTACTAACCTGGTTATTTAATTACACTTATATTACCTGATTGAGTGCTGGGCTATTTTTATTTATAAACTAGCTGAACCAGCGTACTTCGTATTGCTTACAATAATTTGGAAGAAATGATAAACGACGAACGTCAAATATTTGACAGGAATATACACATAGCCATCTGTCGGATCCAATGTAAAACATTCCAAAATCAACAACTACTAATAAATTAAAAATTAATTAAAAAAACATTGTCCAGCGGACAAAATTGTGAATCTAAACCATTCTCAGATCCCCTTGAACACACACAAAAAATTTCATCAAAATCGGTCCAGTCGTTTAAGAGAAGTTCAGTGACATACACACTCACAGAAGAATTTTATATATAAAGATACTTAACACCGTTTAATTTAATCTTCACTCGGTATCCGTAAGCTTCTTATAATCTTGTAGGCTATCTCAAATTTATTTTTCTTGATAATTCGCTGATTAATATTTGCTTCATATATAAAATTCAAATATTCTTCAAATATTCCAATCTGGCTTCGATTAGGACCATGTCGGCGTATAGATTTGCCTCGCAGGAATTAAAACAAACGGATATAAAATTTTAAACTATAATGAGCAAAGTAGGTGAGTAACAAGTACAAAAGTTGAAGGATGAATGCAGTATACAAAAGATTCTTATAATTAAAATCCTTAAGCTAGTTGTGTGCGGGTTTGCTGCGAACATTTGAGTAGGCGCGAAGACCCTCCATACAGTCCTGATTATCTCCGTGTGACTTTCCATTATTCACTAAAATAAAAATCAGCTCAAAGGGATGCAGTTTTCATCGCCGGAAGAAGCGCTAGCAGCGTTTGAGAAGGCCCTGGAAGAGGTGTTTGCGGAGGACTAGAAAAAATGTTTTGAAAATTGGTTCAGCCATGGTTCGCATGAAACGTTGATTAGAGACTGGTGGAGACTTCTTTAAAAAGATTTAATATTTTTTTTTTTTCATAGTAGTTAGTTTTTTAGTTTCTCAAAACTTTCTGAGTGTCCCACGTATATCGGTTGTTAAGTGTATGAACACTTATACTTCATTCCAAAATAACATTTAAAAAAAGAAGCAGGGTTCGAAACTGATACCCCAAAAGATAGTGTTATTTCACTGTGGTTCTTCATTCTATAAGGTAGAAGTCAACCCCCGCCATGCCACCCTGCCACAACTGGCCTCCAGCGGTGCTCCCACAGCCCAACGGGAACGTAAATACTCGCCACTTGTGGTTGAGCACCTGCCGGGCTCGCCGACACACATGCACGCCCTGCACGACGCTCTCGGCCGTGCATCCAACGCGCGCCCAATTGGTACGGGCTAACGTTTTTCGCCGATGGATGGCAATGAGTACCGCCTTATCCAGGCCTACCTCTCCAAGCTAAAGGGTGAGGGCGGGCTGAGCTGGTACTCATATGCCCTACCAGAAGATCGCAGCCTAAAGGTAGCCATCCGAGGACTGCCCGTCAACACCCAGCCTCAGGACATTGCTGAGGCCCTTGCCGCAAAGGGCTTCGCCGTGGAATACACCAAGCAGATCCGGGCGCGAGCAGACCGCCCCGGATGCATATATTTTCGGTTGAGTTTCAACAGCGATTTCGGAACGAATACAAAGGCGATCAAAGTGCAAGTAAAGTGTTCAAGTGCGATTGTTTAAAGACTAGTCCAGTCGGAATAAACATGAGACCTATTCTAAGACACCAGCGCTTAGCCAAATTTTTCCTAGATAGTATAGACCCCCACGAATATGCCCTCCATTTGTCCCCGCTAGAACCCGTGTTTTGTAGCCAGGAAAATAGTTTAAACAAAGAAAACCCGGTTTTTTTGAGTTTTTTTGCTTGTAAACGGGGATTTTGAAAATTTTTTTTTAATCAAAGTTTTTCATTAGCTTGCCCTCTACAAAATCAGTTCTATGAAAAAATAACGTGAGATTGTTAGTTTAGCAGTAAATTGCAATTATGTCGGTTTTACGTTTGCAACAATTCAACATGTTATAATAAACATTTTGATTTCTAAAGTAGTTTATCATGTGGGTAACGCCACTCCCAAGAGAGTCATGTAAAATTTATCGACCTGTGTCGCAAACTTTAGCAACAATTCTCAATCTCCGAAAAAAAAGTACTTGCCTGTCCCGTCTTTCCCAGAAGGCGCACAGCGGGGAAAAAAATTCAGGTGATTCGATTCACCAAGAATTTTGAGGAATCGATCGAGTAGAAAAAAATCGTTAGTAAAAATGTTCGTTTTTGGACGATTTAAATTTTTTTTAAAAATTGACGTAGAATAATTTTTTTTTTAAACTAATGTACCTATTTTTCTCTCCTCAACTCGAATAGACGATTGAAAATTTAAAAAAATCAGTTTATTTATGTACAGAAATTATTTACAAAACTATTAACTAAAATTCGATTACAAGACTGCGTTGTATTCTATATTTCTAATTAAATTAATTTCGTCCTTTTTTCTTCCGGTTCATAATCGGAATTCTCAGGGTATATTAGTATTATATATATATTATATATATATATATATTCAGAATAGTATATTCGAGTTGAGGAGAGAAAAATACATTAGTTTAAAAAAAAATATTCTACGTCAATTTTTAAAAAAAAATTAAATCGTCCAAAAACGAACATTTTTATTAACGATTTTTTTCTACTCGATCGATTCCTCAAAATTCTTGGTGAATCGAATCACCTGAATTTTTTTCCCCGCTGTGCGCCTTCTGGGAAAGACGGGACAGGCAAGTACTTTTTTTTCGGAGATTGAGAATTGTTGCTAAAGTTTGCGACACAGGTCGATAAATTTTACATGACTCTCTTGGGAGTGGCGTTACCCACATGATAAACTACTTTAGAAATCAAAATGTTTATTATAACATGTTGAATTGTTGCAAACGTAAAACCAACATAATTGCAATTTACTGCTAAACTAACAATCTCACGTTATTTTTTCATAGAACTGATTTTGTAGAGGGCAAGCTAATGAACTACTTTGATTCAAAAAAATTTTCAAAATCCCCGTTTACAAGCAAAAAAACTCAAAAAAACCGGGTTTTCTTTGTTTAAACTATTTTCCTGGCTACAAAACACGGGTTCTAGCGGGGACAAATGGAGGGCATATTCGTGGGGGTCTATACTACCTAGGAAAAAATTGGCTAAGCGCTGGTGTCTTAGAATAGAAGTCGGTCCAAATTATGGCTATTCCGACTAGACTAGACTTGTATAGTGAAGTAGTGTTTTAGCGAGTGTATTGTGATCAACATTATGTTTTAACTGTGTGAACTGTGTGGTGAATAAAGTACTGGTCAATCGTGAAATGGCATATAATTTCGAACCCCATTCCGACACGTAACACTATGTCTATGGATAATAGTCAACAAAACTAGATGTTTACATATTATTTATTTATTTAACCTTGACTATTAAATAATAATGACTTCTTAATCTATATGTCTAGAAACAGAATCCAAATGTTTCATTTTATGATCACTTAAGTTTGGTCTTGCTTCATATGTACAGATTGTGACGCCATGGCGATGGCCTGGTGTCCATTCACCCCGTAGTCCAATATAGTAAATTTTGGTAGTGTCTGCACCAAAATTACTGGGAAAGTGCATTGTCAAATGCGACACAGATGAAAAAGTGACTACTCTGGAAAAGGATAAATATTGTCATTAATTATTAGTCATAAAAACACAATCAGTATAATGTAAGTACTGAGAGACATACAACATAACATAACTATATGTTGTATATTTATTGCATTGTAATGATTGAATGGCTTCTTCCTAGTTATTAAACTGTGCCCGATACCTACATTTAAAGTCAATAAATTATTATATTTCCAAATTTACGCGATATAAAAATACTTTGTGGTTGTAATAGCTTTCAAACAACTTCAGGTGTACCTCAAGGTTTACATTTGGGACCTCTGCTTTTTAACATAACCTTTACCGTTTATAACCGTTATGTCAGCTTCATAAAAATCGTACATAAGTTCAATTTTATATGCGCTGTTAGGTAATGAATGATATTTTAGTAACCGGCCAGTGGTCAATATTATCGGCACACAACATAATATATAATTATGTGATGCATTTTAAGATAATCAATTATAATATATCCGCGAATAACTGTTCAATGGTATCTAAGCACTGAAAGTTATCAAAAATATTTTGGTAGTAAAGTAAACGCTAATCTGTGGTATTACGGTTCTTATCTTTTCATTACGTGAATGACACAATTGAGGTGTCTTTTGTTTGGGCCTATAAAGGCGCGATTCCATCAGGCAACTAACTTGTGCAAAACTGCTACCAACCCAGTATACAAGCTAGAAGTTGCGTGTCAGTTGTACATTTTTATTCAAGTGACGCGCAAATTGAAAGAGCAAACGTTATTTGCACGTTTCACTTTAGTTAGTTGCACGTTCAAACGTTAACCGATTCATTTGAGAACATCTCCACTTCCTTGTAAAGTAATACCTCGTTTACATGCAGCGCGAGTAAGGAGGGAAGTGGGCAGGGAAGTGGGCATGACGAGTATGTAAACACGATACTCGTCATGCCGCTGCCATTGCCACTCGCGCTGCCCGGCGCTCCCCAAAAGAGCGGTTTTTTGTGCGGAAGTCAAAGGACCGGCAGCGCGAGTGGCAATGCGTGTTCACATTCTGCGCGTCGCTTAGTTCGCGCCACGCGCTTGGTGGAGAAAGACGTCCAATTAAAAATTATTAATTAATTGAATATGATTAATATTTATCACACAGCAGACGGGACTCGAACCCGCACCCTTCGCAATCCGGGCGAATGCACTAACCAATTATACTACCGCGGCCCTCACGGACCGCGTCGAAATTCCTCTAGCCATTCTTAAGCTGCAAGGCAGCGCCATCTCTTCGCATTATAGGTAAACCACAATATCAAATAAATACTTTTGCAAGTATTAAACATTTGAAAGAATAAATTGCAATTATAGTTATAATTTTTATTTTTTTAAAGCATGTAACTGCTTGATGTTTAAATCTAAAGAAAATATAACTAGATTTTTTTTTGCGAAGGGTGCGGGTTCGAGTCCCGTCTGCTGCCTGGTCCGCGTGGATTTCTTTCTTGTTATATTTTCTTTAGATTTAAACATATTGCAGTTACATGCTTTAAAATAATAAAAATTATAACTAATATTTATTAATTTATTTATATTAAAATTATTAATTATTTAAATTTCGAACATAATTATGGATTGCAAAACACACAGCGCGGCCGCTGTAATTACTTCGACGTCTGCCATTGCCGAAACTCTGAAGCGAAGTGAGAGGTAGGGCAGTATGTAAACACATACTTCTCTCAGTCATGCCGCAGCAATTTAGGGAATTATTGCCGGCAACGCGAGGGGCAGCGGCATGGGCATATTCTAAACGTGATATAAAACCTGCATGCAATTTACACTCTCGAAAACATATTTTCAATGTTCACCGCTTGTACCCAAATGTGACGTCATACTTGCATGAATTCCATAAGTATTTTGAAATAAATAGATTAAAGGTCATAGCACACATGTTAACTTGGAAGTGGACCGATACTGACTCGCCTTTCGGCTTGCCGTCAAACAGGCGTCCACATATATTTGAGCTTGTTAGAGAAAGCGGATAAGCAGCTCCAGTACGTCTACTCTGCTACGGCTAGCTGACGCTGCATTTACTGCTCGCCAAGCGCTGGTTGACGGCTAGGCGGCACCAGTTCAATCAGTTTGAATTCGAACGTGAGTCAGCAATGGGGCTTGGACGAAGAGACGTAAGCTAGGGTACGGAGAGAAGTAAACGCGGTAACTGCAAGTTGTTGCGCACTGCGGCTCAGGAGTTTGTCCCGGGATGAGGTGATTACGTTACGATTCCGATTAGTGTGTGTTGCAGTATGGAGTTTCATACAAAGAATACTAAATGGCGCAAGTTTATACAGTGACAATCCCTTTCCAAATTTATATGTATGCTATAACCTTTAATTATTTAAATTGAATAATCTATGTAAGCAAAGATATTTATGAATACTTTGGACGCTTAGATACCAATGAACAGTTACGAAGCGTACATATTTAAGATCATTGTAATGGAGTAGAAATATAAGATATGAAGACTGGTTGGTTGTGTACAATATTTAGATAACTTTAAATGCAAAGATAAAATTAAACCTTTGCACTTAACATGTATTAAACCACCTAATCACCTCAGATTTTTATGACGCTGACTGTACACCAACTATGAAAATGTGTGCTTACAACCAAAGTCTATGAATAAGAACTGCCCATTTGATCTATCTATCTAAATATATATAAATATTGCAGAATTCTTATGAAGAATCAACATACTTTGGTGAATATTCAAGTACACTTTCACTGTCTTTCTGTAGATCGAAAATTTGATCAGGCTCCATTGTTACCTCATCAAAAGTCATATTTGGTTTATTTTTGAATCTGTAAGAAAATTGAACAAAAATTACTTCTGTAATTAATTTGCAAACTCATTTAGCTAACCACACCAATATACTAGTTGACTCTTTTTAATTAAGTCGTTCTAAAGCTATATTTTCATTTTTTAAGCATTTAACTTGGATGCTGTGAAATTGGCCAAGTTATTTAACACCAAACAGTCTATGTCGAACGAGGTCAAATATCTAGGCATAGGTCTTGACCATAAGTTGACATGGAACAGCCACTTAGATCAAAAGATAAACAAAGCCTGTATCACATTTTGGCAGTGCAAAACACTACTTGGTAAAACCTGGGGTCTGGCACCAAAAATCACAAAATGGCTTTACACAACCAAAATAAGAATAAGAAGTTTCATTAAGTAATTTACAGATTCAATATATACGAGAATAACAACTCACAATCTTAATTTGTTTGGATGACATTCAGTATCTTCAGATGCAACTCTGATGCCCTTAAGTTTTACATTCCCTGTAAAGGGGATATTAAATAATAATTCTTCATCTGCATCACTTTCAACAAACTAAAAATAATTATAATTTAGGTAAATAAATAAATAGTGTGGTGGTATTCTACAATATATCAGCTAAGTAAGCTTATCAATGGTCTTGTAGGACTTCATATTGATATGGTGTAATTATATTTTACACCTAACCACTGTTGAGTGGATTCACATTTTTTGTTATATTATTCAACAAATAATATTATATTTGTATGTCCCATCAATAGTTCATAGTATTAGTAAAAGAATAAAAAGACGAGGAACACATACCTACTTAAAATTGTTTAAATAACAGTACTTAATTAAATAAATAAACGAACTTACATTAGTCCTGTCCAATCTCTTATCCCATGATTTAAATACAGTTTTACCAGCACCTTCAATTCTTTCATTTAAACACTGTAAATTATCTAAATCTATTTTCACATATAAATTGTATTGAATTCCCATCTCTTCAGAACCTGAATGGTCGTGATCGTGATGGTCATCATGACAATGACTGTGGGGCATTTTGAATCAAAATCCTATGCAGTTTTTGGATGGTTTGTTTAAATAATTCTACTGCCTATTTACTTTAGAAGTTTTAAATTAAAATAAAACTACAAAATTGCAAAGTCAATTTCAAAGCACTGAGCAGCTGAGCAAAGAGAATTTATTTAATTTAACATTGGTACGTTAGCGACTAGGGACACGAAAAAAGTATCGATACTTTGTGGTATCGAGTACTTTTCCTTTCGATACCGATACTTTTGTACTCGATACTTTTGTATTCGATACTTTTACTAAATGAGTACTTTTTGGCAAGTATCGATACCTTTAAAAATTTCGATAAGCGCCTCATATTGATGGCAATGCCATCTTGTTAAATCATAGCAAACCTTCTAAAACGTTCCATAGGGTAGTTGACAAGTTTTAGGCAACGATCTCACGTTATTGACTAATGTTTATGGAGTCCGTAAAAAGTGGATATTCATCATTCTGTTGTGTATTTCAGTAAAAATAACCAAATCAAAAACTCCATCTTCAAGTTGCCGCGAAAATGTTTCTCTGGACAATATGGCGTTTTACTAGTGTGTGACGTCACACGACTGTTATTAAAACGTCAAACGATACAATGTAATGTCACTTTGACCGAAAGTTTACTTGCGTGTGACGTCATTTTAGGCTCCGCCAATCCCAAGCGTTTTGGGTTACGTGACAATAGATAAGAAAACTTATATCTTTTTCGTTATTTTGGCACTTTATTTTTAATACTGTCAAATGCCCTATTGCGTTGTTATAAAGTCAGTAACTGACATATTCAAATTCCAATCTGTGACTGTGTTTTGTACTTTGTATTGTTTCATAGTTATTTATTTAGCGACCATATTGTTAGGGACTGTGATTGATTCGCCGTTTATTGTACTTTTCGCTTGATTGTATTTGATTTATTCAAATGTAACACTATTATTCTGTCTGTGCTGTGTATACCTATTTGAAACCACCTGAAAAAAAGACGGACGTAACCTCTTCTATAATTATAATCTTGAGTGAAGCACGCCTATGGCAGCCGTTAACTACGTGTCAGATTCAAGTTAACATAAGTGGGTATAATTTTTTTAAAGATTAAAATTCAAGAAAAGTAAGTTTAATTTGAAACAAATCTGAAAAGTTTCATACTTTTAAATTGTTTAAAATTTCGATCTTTTTAATTAACATTTTAATTATGAATGTAATATTAATGAACACTTTTTTAGTGTCAGAAATCACAGCTATTTTCTTTTCATTATATAATATAGCAATTTGTGAATTTACATGTTTACATGTTTGTGAAGTTACCTTTTTTTGTTTTTGATTATACTTATTATAATAAAATTCGATTGTTTTTCTTTCAATTTTAACACCGGGGGGGGGGGGTTGCTCATCAGGCTACAGAGGGTCCGATAAGGCCCTATGAAATGTACTCGATACTTTGAAGTATCGATACTTTTGTTTCGATACTTTTACGAGTACGATACTTTTTTACCGATACTACTCATGAGTACAGTATCGATACTTTCTATTCGATATCTTGTCCCTATTAGCGACAGAGCATGCAGTGCAGTGCATAGAATAAAATCAGTGCTGCCAGTACCTGCGTCGTGTTTCGGACGATTCGAAATCTGAAAAGGGACGATTTTTAGTCAAAAAGGACGGCCCTACAGAAATATTAAACTAAAGGCTGAACTATATTTATCTTACGTGTTGTGTTGTGGCGCGATCTGGTTCATACATTTAGTACGGTTAGCACTAAGAACTATACAGAAGCAGATCTCTATTAAAAAATTTAGACATATTAAAATTGACAATCCAGTTAAGAAATGTGTATTTATTGCTATTTTGGACATTTTGCTTATTTTTCTATTAAAATTTTGACTATTAGTATAATTGACAATGGCTTATCAAATTTATAATTAATTTATAATCTACTTTGACATACATGTAACAATAGACAATTTCAAATTATGTTCATAAATTGTGATTCCAATGTAAAAATAATAGTACTTCTTTCATAGGTCCTTATCTATTTGTACACCTTAATTAAGGTGGAAATGTAGTGATACTAACAAAAATTATATATACCATGTATACTAACCTATGTTTCACAAATAAAATTCTGAAATTCTGATTCTGATTAAACCTGTGTGTCGCGATGTGTCGACAGCGTTCTCACATTAACCATAATTGTATGAATCAGATAGCTCTCTGATGTGTTACAATACAACACGACAGGTAAGTGTAGTTCTATTATAATGCGGTTAAATGAAAAGAAAAGCGAGTGTGCTTAGGAACACACGACTGGAAGTGAAATTTCTATAGCTCCAATGATCTGTAATTTGATAGAAAAAAACCATCAATCCGCGCTGGGTCCGTTATCACACACCAATCCGTGCTGGGTCCGTTATCACCCACCAATTCGCACTGGGTCTATTGCCACCCACCAACCCGCACTGGGTCCGTTATCATCCACCAATCCGCACTGGGTCCGTTATTATACACCAATCCACACAGGGTCCGTTATCACCCACCAATCCGCGCTGGGGCCATTATCACCCACCAATCCGCACTGGGTCCATTGCCACCCATCAATCCGCGCAGGTCCCGTTATCACCCTAAAATCCACACTGGGTCCATTATCACTCACCAATCCGCGCTGGGACCGTTATCATCCACTAATCCGCTCTGGGTCCGTTATCACCCACAAATCCGCGTTGGGTCCGTTATTATCCACCAATCCGCTCTGGGTCCGTTATCACCCACCAATCTGCGCTGGGCCCGTTATCATCCACCAATCCACGCTGGGTCCGTTCCGTTATCATCCACCAATCCGCACTGGGTCCGTTATCACTAGTGTTGCCAGGTCCGTATTTGTTTTAAGTCGGTACATGAGGTGAAAAACATCGGGACTTAGGGTTGTAGATCGGGACAGTAAACAAAAAACTAGGGTTTTTTAGTCTGGGTTTATTTTTTGCGATTTAAACCACTAGTGCAAGTATAGTATTATATTAATTACCTAACTTTCATTTTTTGATTCATCGGGTTATTTAGCGTCCCGATCAGGTACAAATCAGGACGCGTCCCCACACCCCTGAAAATCGAGACATCCCGCACAAATCTGGACACCTGGCACCACTAGTAATTACCCACCAATCTGCGCTGGGTCCGTTACCATCCACCAATCCGCGCTAGGTCCGTTATCCAGGCCACCTAGCCAAGCACTAGATTTATGTATTTTGTGACAGGTATTGTTCATTGTTTACCGATGAGTCACCGATGACACTAATCGTTACGCGAAATCGTAACTATTCGCCAGTTTACCCCCCAAGTCAAGCGTGCCTAAAGAAGTTTCACTTCAAAAAACATTTTAACAGAGCCATATTAATTATATTTTTTTGGGCACACAATAAACATAAAGAAAAAGTACGGAGGACATAGGTACATCATGGTGGTACGAACGTATCGTACGTATTTACGACTTAACAAAGCAAGCACTTATTTTTAAGTTACCTATTATCTTTATAATTGAAATATAGGTACCTCAACAACAAAAGTTTTATTAGGTAAGATATGGTAGGTTATTGGGTTTGAGCTTTGAGTTGGTATATAGATATAGGTAGGTATTTGTTAAACGTCACCTTCGTAGCGAGCGTTGGATTCGATGTAGTTTACTGGGTGATTTGACGAATAGAGTTGACAATGTACAACGAATAGTGATGGCAATTTAGTGAAATAAATCAATGAGTGAAACGAAACGCATTCGTCTAATGTTGCAGTGAAGCGTTATCGAAAACGGACGGAAAAGGGACGGAATATGTAAAAGGACATCGATGGGACGCTTTGATGAGAAAAGGGACGAAAATCGTCCCTATTGGGACGTTCTGGCATCACTAAATATTTATGAGCATTTTTATTATTATAATGGCTCGCACGGTTTGTGCATTGGCCACGACAGGGTAAAAGGTAAGGAAACCAAAATAATGAAATAAAATGGTTGTGAAACGGAATTTGGAAGGATTAGGATCAGGTAGGTACGTAAAATTAATTTGAAACGTAAGTAGTAGGCAGTGCTGCCAACCCGAATTTTAGAAAATTAGTAGATTATGTGCCAAATGTTGGTAGAAGTTGGTAGAATGTAAAATGCAAAATTGGTAGATCTACCACCTCAATTTAGAAGATTTTTTAAGATTAAAAATGCATGCAAAGCAATGCAGAGCACACTTCAGATCACACCTACATGATTTGCAATAAAATGATAATTTCTTAATGCCAACCTGCAAATTCCTTGTCTTTCTCCCATAATTCCGAAAATTTTTGGTCATAGTGCCTTTTTCTAGGTTTTCGTGGCGGAGTTCCTAACCTAGAACTATGTGCATCGCTTTCGCTGCTGTCAGAATCCATTATATAAATAAATGAACGCAACATAGAACAAACAGCACTCAGCACCGTTAATACGCAGTTAATTAGTTTTTACAATAAAACAGGAGCAAAGATTCAACATTGATTCCGCAACAAACCAAATAGGCCACAGTAGGAATAGTAAAATATGGGCGCGAAATTGTGCGAACGCCGAACTTATGGCGAACTGTTGCTTTTTTTTTGTGGTTTATGGCCTGGACTCTATATATGCTTGACGCATCGTTGCATGGCTCACGCAATACATCGCAACGTCGCTCGTCGATATAAAAATAATTCAAAGTGGTGTGGTATGTCAAACTAATTAAAAAATAGGTAGTTTTTAGGTCTAGGGTGGTAGATAGGTAGACTGAAGTGAAAATTGGTAGATCTACCAAAAAGTTGGTAGATATAGCAGCACTGGTAGTAGGTCTATTTAAGTATATAAAATACATTACATTATTTGTTATAAATTAGGTATTTATAATTATATATTATGTTTTATTAATAATATAGAATCACGAATTCTTAAGTGACAATGTCACGTGACCATAACTAACACCTCCTCTCAATGTTAAATTGCAAACAATTTGATATTGCTTGAACAAAGCCTCCTCTCAAATAAAAATCATAACATAAAATTACCACTACCTACTTAACTCAATTTATTAACAGCACCTATAACTTAACACCAAATTAGAACAACCTATATATAACACTTATTTTTACTCAACTTTTAACTTTCTAACAAAGTAGGCATGCTTTACAGAAT